AGGAATGCCATCCACCACCCGCTGAGCTTTGACGTTCAGTCTTTAGCTAGGAGCAAACTTGTTCTTGGTTGCACTTTTCTTTAAGCAGTGATGCACTGATTGGTCCGGGTCCTGCTTTACTGGCTTGAGTTTTCCCTGCTCACCTGTAGCAGCTGGGGACATCCATGCTGATCCAGGAGTATCAGGCATCTCACAATAGTGAAGACACCTGGAAGAAACTGGGATGAAGCTACACCATCACCTCAAAGGATGGCCATTGCTTAGGAGAACAAGTCAAACAATTCCTTCACAAATGGAAGACTTGACGTGCATTATTCTTCCATATTTCAATTAACAATCTTAAAGACAAATGGCTTTTTGGATGACTTCACATTCCTGTCATCTAGTTCAGGTATATTGCTTTTCAAATTCTTCTAAAGAAAGATAAACACAACCTCCCCCAGTTAAAGAAAGCATAATAGGATTTCTTTCCCAGAAACATTTATTTTTTAAATAGTGTTTTTTCCTTATAAAGCAGCTCTTTCAAGTCTTGTGTTCCTTTTAGCACAGAGTCTTTGGCATGTTCCTCCTTTCTTGTAGAGTGGTATAAAATGTATTTTTTTTTACAGAAAAATAAGTCTTTAAACCACAAATTAATTCCCCCAAGTATTAAATAACATACAAAAAACTTTATCAAATCTATTACATACACCAATGGGACAAAACCTTATGTATGTGCAGAATAACTATATATACATTTTTAGCTTTGTTAAATTAGTGCTCAAAATTATTGAGGAAGCTTTACAAAAAATCCAAATGCACAACTGTAGCATTACTAAGATTTGTCACACTATTTGTAGAATGTCACAATGTATACAATACATTGTGTTTAAAAACCTCTGCCTGAAAATGCAAACCAATGACTCGTTTTTATATTTTGGAATAGTTTTCAAAAAGACAGAATTTTATACAATTACACAGCAAGTCACCTTCCAGATTTCATGGAATCAAGAACTGAATATAATTGCAATTATCCCCTATATGAAAACACACCTACTGATAAAACCAACAGCATCATGCACATCAGAAAGCAAAATGCAGGAGGAAAATCCAACAACAAAACATCAGGTCCTGCCAGTTGCACTGAACATGTCATTCATTCCAAAGCAGCGTTACTGTCAAGCTCTAAAATAAGACTTATTTTTGTCTCTGTAGTGTGATGCAAACAGAGTGTGCTCAACCACCAACCAAGGAGTTCTTGTCTTCAGGGCTTCACACGAGGGGATTCTATCCAGGTTCCTTTTCCCACAGAGAGCTTAAGAGATTTTACAGTTGTTTCTGGTACAGTTTTTTGGTGGGCTCTGTGATGGACGGATGATTTTAGCTTTCTTTAAGCTCTTCCTTTTATTGATGTTGCTGGATGTGAGGGAGTAGGAGCGTCCATGCATCATCCTGGCATTAAGGCCATTTGCCATGGAGAAAGATTTGAGGTGGCTTCTTAAGGCAACAGGGAGAGGGAGCTTGTCAACAAGATGCACAGGGGTACAGGAAACTACGGCACGGCAACAAAGGTCTTGCAGACTCAGTACTTAAAAACAGACATAAAACTCACATTATAATAGCACACCTTTGTCAGCCATGTGGCAGCAGCACAGCCAGCACTCTGCATGCACTCTGAACTTCCAGGAGGAATCCTCAAGGCTCCTCCTCCCACACCCCTCCCCACATACTCATCATCCAAAAAAAATCTCCTGCTTCAGTTTCCTATTTATGTCTTAATGGTTAGATGACTGAGCATGTAAATTCTAGAAAAGATAGTTATTCCCTATAAAAGCAAGAACAGGTTGTGCCTGTTTTCTGTTTAGAAAGCAAATTGTACAGGATTCCTAATTCTTCTTTTTTTGATGTTTTTGCAGCAGGGTTTAAGTTTCTGGAAATTACTTTATCTTACTGAACCACAAACCTTAGCTGGAACCAAATGAATACATTTTCAGAATACATTGCTTACCTTTGTTTGGCCTCCAGAGCCTGTCCATTCCATGTCTCATCAATACTATTCTTGCTAGTTCAGTAAAGGACTCTGTAATATTGAAATTACAAAGTGGACTGACTTCAAAAAAAGTCATGCCCAGCCTCTCAGCATAGGCTTGTGCTTGTTCAGTGGACACTTGGCGCTTGAAGGCTAAGTGAAGGCGATTTCCAACCAGGATTTTTGGTACACCAGGAGCATGCTGAGCAAAGAGAAGCAATATAAATAAAGAATTAGAACTTTGGCTTGTTTTCCCTTTCCCTCGATTAAAACAAACAAAGGCTTTTTCAAGATGTAAAGAGTAAATGGTGGGTTGGACCAGATGATCTCTAAAGGTCCCTTCCAGCTTAAACTATTCTATGATTCTCTGATCTAAAAATATGCCATCCACAGAGAAGACAGGCTTGCACAGATGATGTGGTAAATCTAGAGCATGAGTGGGACTACAATGTAAATCTTTGCCCTCCACATGCTTTCTCTCAACACCTTTAAAGAAATCAGACACTTAAGCTGATATGCTTCTGACTTTCTAGAATTCTAAACATAGAAAGAAAACTGTAAATTGCCATTTTGGATAACTCTGTAAAAAGCACTGTCTGCAAATGCCAGTAAGACCAGTAGAAAATATTGTAAGAAGCTGGTTTTAGTCAATGTGTTACAGACCAGTAACACTCTGGGATAGCACTTTACCTCATCAATTTCTTTTATCCATCGATCGATTCCATCAAATGACCAACGATTTGTGATATCATACACTAGTATCACTCCCTGTATTTAAAAAAAAAATAAAATTCTAAGCTTAACAGAGGATATAACATAGAAAACACAATCTGCAAACTCTCCAGTTCTGAAATAATCTTGTAAGATGCTGAGCAGCTTCTCAGTGGAGCAGAACCTCACCATCCCAGGAAACCAAACCACATCTCTCTGTGGGGATTGCAGATCAGATAAGGGGCAAAAACCCTGACTTAGTTTTGGGCTTTAATGTTTTGGTATTTATTTTTTTTATATATAGTGGACGAGTGTGGTTGATCATACACACATCACAAGTCATAACAGATAAGTATTTTTGGTCACATTCAGGAAATTGAAGATTAAATGCCCTGTGCAGTTCTGGATCATAAGAAGGGCAACTCCTCAGAAGAATAAATGTCATGATTTGTAACACTACTTCAAAGCAAGGAGCTCCGGTGACTTTTTAGTCTGTTTTTGAAAAAGTCATTACATTTTATCACATTTTAGACTATTTTTTCACATTACTCTTGACAGTTTTATGTTACTAATTTCTCTCACTTGGCACAATTTTAAAAAGTAGCATGAGCATAGCTCTCCCCTGATCAAAGTGAGAGTAACACTGAAGTTACTGAGGTAACCAACAAGAGGCATAGGAATATATATCAGTGTATTTTACCCTGATTCAACTGCAAGCATATTGATTTCCCCTCCCTGAATGAAAATCCTGCCCTCTGTTATTTTCCACATTTCATGTTACCTTCAGACTGTTCCTGCATCTGCATGGAACCTACTGCTGAGCTAGAGAAGCCAGGATGATGGTTTGTTACCTGCTCCCAGCCACCCATCACCCTGGTACTTGGCTCACCTGAGCGCCTCTCGAGTACGACCGAAATATGGTGCAGAATCTTCCTTGTCCTGATGTGTCCCTAGATGAAATAAAGGATAAACATTATTTTAAAAGAAGTATGTGGCCTCCTACATTAAGACTCTAGCTAGATTAACTCATCATAGATTAACAGGACTAGGGATGTGATTCTCCCTCTGTACACAGCACTGGTGAGACTTCACCTTGAGTCCTGTGTCCAGTTCTGGGCCCCTCACTTCAAGAAGGATCTCGAGGTGCTGGAGCAGGTCCAGAGGAGAGAACAAGGCTTGTGAAGGGACTGGAGGGAAAGTCTTCTGAGGAGAGGCTGAGGAAGCTGGGGTTGTTTAGCCTGGAGGAGACTCAGGGGTGACCTTCTCACTCTCTACAACTCCCTGAAGGGAGGTAGGAGTCAGGTGGGATTGGGCTGTTTTCCCAGGCAACCAGTGACATGACAACAGGGCCTGTCCTGAAGCTGTGCTGGGGGGGGGGGTGTTAGGTTGGATATTAGGAAGCACTTCCTCATGGAAAGGGTAATAATCATTGGAATGGACTGCCCAGGGAAGTGGTGGAGTCACCACTTTAAGGAAGGACTGGATATGATACTTAGTGCCATGGTCTAGCTGATGTGGTGGTGTTAGGTCATAGGTTGGACTTGATGACCTCGGAGGTCTCGTGGCCTGCATTTCTGTGTCTCTGAAATACAAATTAGGAGGAGAGGTGGAGCCCACCCTTACCAGAGCTGTAGCTTGATTCTTCGGCCGTCCAGCAGAATCGTTGTAGTCTTATAATCTATACCTGTGGGGAAGAGTGTCATGCACATCTCAGAGTAGCTTGAACGTGTACAGCACACACACAGACAGCTACAGATTTCAAAGAAGCTGACCTCAAAAACATAAGGTGTTTGTCATTAGTACTCTCATGAAGCGCATGTGGGTAAAAGCAACTTGTTGATATAAAGTTACAAAGAGCTTTCATATTACTGATGCGTGGTCCATTCAGAGCAGATGTCTCACTGTGTGGAGGTGGTGGGGGGGGGGGGGGGTGTTAGGTTGGATATTAGGAAGCACTTCCTCATGGAAAGGGTAATAATCATTGGAATGGACTGCCCAGGGAAGTGGTGGAGTCACCACTTTAAGGAAGGACTGGATATGATACGTAGTGCCATGGTCTAGCTGATGTGGTGGTGTTAGGTCATAGGTTGGACTTGATGACCTCGGAGGTCTCGTGGCCTGCATTTCTGTGTCTCTGAAATACAAATTAGGAGGAGAGGTGGAGCCCACCCTTACCAGAGCTGTAGCTTGATTCTTCGGCCGTCCAGCAGAATCGTTGTAGTCTTATAATCTATACCTGTGGGGAAGAGTGTCATGCACATCTCAGAGTAGCTTGAACGTGTACAGCACACACACAGACAGCTACAGATTTCAAAGAAGCTGACCTCAAAAACATAAGGTGTTTGTCATTAGTACTCTCATGAAGCGCATGTGGGTAAAAGCAACTTGTTGATATAAAGTTACAAAGAGCTTTCATATTACTGATGCGTGGTCCATTCAGAGCAGATGTCTCATGTTCCCTTCAGGTTGATAAATGATTGGTTTTATTCATCATCATGACAATATATATGCTGAAAGAGTTTTCTCTCGTTTAAACAAAGGAAGGTAGAACTAGATTTTTGCCTTTTTTCCTCCACATACCTATGTTGCAGACTAAAAGTTGTTCTCTTCCTCTACTCCCCAGTTTTACTGCCTCTACGATTTCTGCCTTATCACCTCTGACTCATGGACAGCTCACATCAGATACACGTCCCTCCCCAATAAATAAGCAGCAGATGGTACAAGAAGTCCTTGCCTTTTGTCTCCCAGCCTTTCTCTATTTCTTGAGAATGAGAAGCCAAGAGAAACTGCATTTGCTTTGAGTCTGTGTTTCAGCTTAGGCGAGTTATAAGAGAGGGGAGTAAGAAAAACAGGAAAAAACCCAAGGACTTTAAGATTAGATTCCTCAAGGCTGTGCTTTACCAGTTCCACACAGAGATATTTAATTCAGTGGCACATTTGTCTTAGAAATTAAGTTCTTTTTTATACCTGAAAAAGTACAGAAAACTCTTCATCTTTGAACACTGACATTTTAGCTCATAAATACTGCAAGAACTGGTTTAATTGCTTGTACTTGTTTCTCTTGATGTGTCCTTTAGTTAAAGGCATGTTGTTCCTTGTAGATAATGGATGTCAAATTAGCAGATTTCAGATTTAATTAAAACCAATTCTTAGTAACACTACTAACAGCAACAACATCCAACTCCCTTCATGGCCTCGGCACCTTCCAGAGATTTCAACATTAAACAGCTTCTCCAGCAATGATTCACTCCATCAGTTTGTCCAAATCAGAGATTCAGTACTAGTTACCTCAGACACACACTGGTGTCTCCTTCTCACTGCCTGTCTCTATGTCAATAATTCAGTGTCTAATAATAAAAAAAATATATGTTTGGTGGGATTCTGGACCCGTGTTTAACAGAATCCAGTGAAAACACCCTTCAGCTTCAAGGACTGTTGACCCACTTCAAAAACAGTTTCAGAAAGTGCTGAAAATCATTTTCCCATTGGCATGGTGTGAATTCAATGGTCCCATCCCTTCCCACTTCAGCATTCCTCAGCTATCTACCTCTTCATATACCTTCTAAAAGTAAGGTCTAACATTTCCCTTCAGAGCACATTTGTAACTGTTTCAAATGTATTTGACAAATGACACAGCTTCAAACTCTGCTCATTTGTTGCTCCAAGTTCTGATTCAAAATTCAACTAAGCTTTACAAACCAAGATACGTGTTTTCCACATCATGCTGCAGATATACAAACTCTTTGCAATAAAACTAGGCTGTATATTTTTATAGGTAAGCACAAAGGCCAGGTTATGTGACAGCCAGACTACTAATTTAGAGAAGCAGGAACAGAGTAAGTTTCTGTTCATCCTCTCAGTAAGTAAACAAGCCAATACTTTGCATATTAAATTCACACCCTCCACAAAAAGAGCAGGCAAACAACTCGCTAAGTTGAGGGTTTTAATCATGCCTTAGCTTGCAGTGTTTCTGCTGAGTGCTGCATCAAAACTAAATATTCAAGGCAGACGAACTGTTGGGAAAAAAAACCAAAAACAAACCTATTTGACATCAGCTAATAATCAACTTTTAACCAAAAGCAGTAAACAGTGCATTTCCATTCACACTCTGAGGAAAGTAAATAAAGATCTTGAGATTATATTTCTTTCTCCTCTGCCTGAACGGTCACTTGTTACCACTGAAACAGCCTCTTTACTATCTAAAGCCTAAGAGATCTATTTTACAAGAGGAAAGAGAATTGTTCCCATCCCCCAGGTCAGGAAGAAGCAACTATGCCCTTCAGCTCATCATTTCCTTTCTTCCACTCCCAAAGAAAAGGATATGGGAGGCACAGGGTAAGCTTGTCAACTCCAATGTTTACTACAATTGCAGCTCAGATGAAAGCTGCCATATATAAACACCTGAGTGTTTATAAATTATAGCACTGCAGGAAACAGTATTATTATTATTAATAGCATAACTAAGGAAAAAAAGTTCTGCCTTTATTTCAGCATACTTATTAATAAATTTGAAATTAATTAGGAAAATATTAATGTATCAATCCCAACAATCACATCAATGAGGTGGTTTTTTCTTGGCTCTTTTTTCCACAAATGTGAAAGAATCAAGTGAGACAAGGAGCCCAGGGTGATCAGTGACCACAGAACAGCTCTGGTGCCTTGCAGATCTCTGCTCTCCTGCAATCTCAGAAGGACATCTAGATCAACCTCCTGCTCAGAACAGGATCAGATATGAGGTCTAGAGACTGCATAACCTCTCTGGGCAGCCTGTTCCACATCCTGACTGTCTCCATGGTTAAAAAGTGTTTTACCCATTCTGAACCTCTCATTTCAAGTCTCACCAATTATCTCTTAACCTCCCACCATGTACAGAGCCTCACTCTGTCCTCTTAATGTCCTCCTCATGGGTACTGCTGGCTGCTCTTAGATTACCCCCTCAAAAGGTCTCTCTTCTCCAGAGAGGTGACTCAGTAGTCTGTGACCAACCTTAGCTTAAATTGTTAGAAATGCAGACTTCTCTTCACTCAGAAACTATGTAATTATTATTCATGTTTTCTTCTGCATGGAACTGCTCTGTCTTGCAGATGTTGAAGACAAATGCAGTGTAGATTGGTAAATTAATCTGCCTATAAAACTACACTTCTCAAACAGTACTGGATTAAATTCCTGTTTGGAGACAAAATGTATATGGAAATATTATTACACCACATGTATTCTTGGCTGTAGAATCCTCTTGCTCCAAAACTAACGCCATTCTACAAAAAACAGTGTTTCTGTCTGAACTGAAAACCTATTTTTAAAAGTGTAGAGGCTATGAACCTGTTTAAAACTCAATTTTGCATGCTTACATTTTTTGAAGTCTGTGTTCAAGTTAAACCACAATCTAATTCAGAAGTGGCTTGCAAAGTCAAGGGTGTGCTTCTACACAAACTTCACTAGCATATTTACCAAAGCACACAGAGTAGGATTAGAAGAGCAGAGTCTTGACTGAATGAGGCCATGCACTGTGTATAGGGATTGCTCAAACAATTGGAAAAGAAAGATGTATCTGGATATCCACGTTAAAGATTTTGCACCACGAGACTCTCCCTACACTGACTCAATCATTCCATTGAACACATCAGCTACGTGAGCCTCTTCTCCACAGTTGAGTCTTGAGAGAGTATTAAAAAGGCTGCCAGACCTGCTGGGTCTCTTCTGGGTTTTCCAGCTGGCAGTTTCATATTTCATGCACTTAAATATCCCATTTTAAGGCACTGCATTATGTCAGCTTGCGAACAACAACCAGGCACAGGAGATACATTAACACATCGTTGTCCCTAAAATTTTGAAGGGCTGAGTTATTTTGATTTCAAACCTATGGACTAAAATCCCCCCCTTCTTCCTTTCTTTTAACTGTGCTTTTTTTAAAATAGTTTGTTTCATCCAAACACCTATAATGGCTCATTCTTTATAAAAAACAGCAAACATAAAATCCTCAAATACACTTATGGCTGCTCCTTCAATACATTCTTTCGGAGTACATAAGCTTTCTTTGCCATTTCAGCTTTGCTGATGTGGGATTACAAGGAAACATATGTTGGTAAGGTCAGAGTAGGGCTCTTTGCCTGAAGTTGTAGCCCAGAGGAAAAATGAGAACAATGGCAGCAGTGTAACACTGAGTTAGTAACTGCCAGGTTGTGCTCAACATACATAATATAGAAACAGAGGGAAAAGGAAGAGGTAAAATCTGAACCATATAAGCCTGGAACACACCACACAGCAAACAAATGATGGTTATTAAAACAAGTGTTTGGACTGCATTTGAAAGTGTGAAAGATCAGCTGCAATTCATCAAGGGCAAGTGTGTCACTCTTGGACTGCAGCTTTTAAACCTTGCCACATGTTCAGTCTGCTCTACATTTACATCTGCACACACATGGGACTTTAACTAGCCATATATTAAGCATAATTGGACCTTTTAATAAACAGCTTACAAAACATTTCTCCAGAGTTTTATGTACTCAAGTCCACAGAAAGTCTAGGCACTATTTTAACAAATGCAATTAAAACAGGCATTTATGGCATCGGGACTTTATGTTATATGAACATGAAGCCAAGAACCCAAAACCAATTTATTAGAGGAAATTATGAATAGTTTGATTTTGCATCAATCAACATCTTATTTTAAAGCTGCATTTTTTGGAGAGCTCACAGCACTCCA